ACACACACACACACACACACACACACACACACACACACACACACACAAAGTATCTTTGGGTAACTAGATACCTTCCAGGATATATTGTTTCAATACATTTTCATAAACTTTAAAAACATAACAACTTTCACTTTTTAAAGACCTACTTTCTTTTTATTTGTTTATGTGTATGTGGGTGGGTGTGTATCTGTGTCTATGCATTCACGGGAGTGCAAGTGTCACTGGAGGCCAGAAGAGAGTTGTGCTAGATAGTTTTATAGCAACTTGACACAAACTAAAGTCCGAAAGGGCAGGGCAGTGGTGGTGCACGCCTTTAATCCCACTACTTGAAAGGCAGAGGCAGGCTGAACTCTATGGGCTTGAGGCCAGCCTAAGTGAGTTCCAGGATAGCCAGGGCTACACAGAGAAACCCTGTCTTAAAAAAAAAAAAGTCATCTGAAAGGCAGGAACTCCAACTGAGAATATGCCTCCATAAGTTCAGGCTGTAGGCAAGCCTGTGGAGCATTTTCTTAATTAGTGATTGATGGGAAAGGGCCCAGCCCCTTTTAGATATGGACACCCCTGGGCTGGTGGTCCTGGCTTCTATAACAAAGCAGGCTGAAGAAGCCATGAGGAGGAGCAAGCCAGTGAGCAGCACCCCTCCATTGTCTCTGCATCAGCTTCTGCTGCCAGGATCCTGCCCTACATGAGTTCCTGTCCTGACTGATGAGGAACTATGGAACTGTGAGCAAAATAAATCCTTTTCTCCCCAAAAGCTGCTTTGGGTCATGTTATTTCACCACAGTGACCCTAACTAAGACAGGGTGTTGGACCCCGGGAGCTGGAGTTACAAGTAGTTGTAGGTCGCCCATCAGGTCCTCTGTAAGAGTAGCAGCAAGTGCTCTTTATCACTGAGCCCTCTCTCCAGCCAAGTCTCCATAATCTTGAAAACGAGAAAAATGTATTGCCATTCATCACAGCCAAACTTTGGGTAGAGAGCAGAGAATCTTATGGAAGAAGGGGAGATAGAAAGACCTGGAGGGGACAGGGGATCCACAAGGAGCGCAACACAGCCAAAAACCTGGGCCCAGGGGGTCCTGCAGAGACTGATGAATTGACCAAGGCCCATGCACGGAGGATCTAGAATCCTGGCACAGATGTAGCCCATGGTAGCTCAGTCTCCCAGTGGGCTCCCTAGTAAGGGCAGCAGAGGCTGTCTCTGGCATGAACTCAGTTTCCTGCTCTCTGATCACCTCTCCCTGGTGAGTTGGCCTTGCCAGGCCACAGGAAAAGAAGATCCAGACAGTCCTGATGAGACCTGATGGGCTAGGGTCAGACAGTAGGGGAGAGGGACCTCCCCTATCAGTGGACTGGAGGAGGTAGGGGATGGGGAAGAGAAAGTGGGACTGGGATTGAGATGAGGGAGGGGGTTGCAGCTGTGATACAGTGAATAAACTGTAATAAATAATAAGAAAAAATAAATCTGTCCTGTACTGGAAAAAAAAAAATAAATGTACATACTCTCACCAACCAACCAACCAACCAACCAACCAACCAACCAACCAACAAACCAACAAACCACTGACTGGTCACTGTGTGCCAGGCACAAGGGCAGGTATGATGATGAACAAGCAAAACGTGTGTTCAGAGTTGGGGTCTGTCCTTGATATCTGCACACCTGGGGCAAGAATGCGAATTGCACTGCATATGGTTAATCTGTGTGTTGGGCAGGGGCGGGGCATACATGCAGAGGCCAGGGCAGGTGTCAGGTGTCCTGCTCTGGCACTCTCTACTTTGTCCCCTTGAGACAGCTCTCTCACTGGACCTGGAACTAGGCTGAAAGCCAGCAAGCCCCAGTGATCCTCCTGTCTCCACTCCCTATAGCACTGGGATTATAGGCAAGTGTGCAGCCATACCCAGATTTTCAGCAGGGGCTGGGGATTTACACTCAGGTCCTCAAACTGACACACAAAAGCTCTTACCCACTGAGACCCCCCCCCCCCAGCCCCTGCTTTAATCTTCCAGAGTTATCAATCAAAGGAGCGAACCCTTGCATCTTGACAAAGCATACCTTTACAATAACTTTCAATGCAAATGTAGACTTCCCAGAATTCTTGTGGCCCTGCACAGCATACACTGGGACAGGCGGCCCCATCTTTAGTCCATGTTTCCTTTCCCTACCTAGGTTCTGCACTGGAAGGCAGGTGGCCTTGCCACAAACCTGTGTGCTGTGGGTCCCTGCAGTCTGCTGAACTCTGGCAGCTTGGGAGTGGGCCCTCTAAAGGGTCCTTAGTCCTCTATGGACTTGTTTCCCAAGGCCACAGTTGGAACACCAGAACGGTCAAACAGGCAATTGTAATATGATAAGAAGCATGCTGTGCCAGGAATGATTAGGGTGGCACAACCGAGAGGGACAATACTAAACACAAAAGTAGATACCAAAGACAGGAAGCGGGGTGAGGAAGGCTTTGCTAGAGACATGACAGTGTGCTCATGGTAGGTAAAGTGGGAGTGGCAGATGGGAGAGGAAACTCGGAGGAGACGCCACTGGAAAGACTGTAGGAGAGGGGGAGCCGAGTGCAAGCTAGAGACACTCCTGAGGGTACAGCGTGAAGGATGGCTTATGGGGGCAGAGAAAGGGGGCCAGAACAGAGCAGAGGGCTCTGCAGTGGTCCAGCCCAATCCACGACAGAGCAATGTGGCTGAAGAAAACCACATGAGCCAGGGAAGAGAGAAGGAGTGATTGTGGAACAGCGATCGGGTGCAGCCATCGGCACTGGGGTCTGTAGGAGACCCCAGCAGGGCAGGAAACAGGCAGGAAGAGTGCAGCTTGTGAAACGATCCAACCTACCCTACAATAAGAGCCTGTTTGGTACCTACAACGGAGAGGGTGACCAGCAGATGGGCGGAGGCTTCCTGGAGACCACTGGAAGCTAAATGTAAAAGCTAAAAGTTCAGGTTAGTTAGGCAGGAACACCATTTCAGGGAGAGGGCCAGAGCAGAGGCAAATGGGAGGCATGAAAGCACACGGCAGGCCTAGGGACTGTGGAGACTGACAGCCACTGAGGGTGAGGGTTAGGAGGGTGGGGAGCAATGGAGGTGGGACTGGAGACGCAGGCATGGAGCACCTGAGGCCGGATGGAGTGCTGAGAACGAGGAGAAGGTGAGGGACATAAAGTGCACCCCGCTTGCTTTCCTGGGAAGGTATGATGTACAGAGGCAAGGAGCAGAGCCTGGAGGCAAAGGGGCAATGGTAACGTGCTCCAACAAACTGGAGCGTGCAATGACAGGGGAGCATGGGAACGGAGAGCTGGGAATGGAAGCTGGAGACATCTGTGGCAGGACTCAAGAACAATTCCTGGCTTCCGGCCTGGGGAAGCCACTCACTAAGAGCCAATGACAGATTAGGAGGAGGAGCAGGAAGACATAAGAACATAAATCCTATCTTAGATCCTTAGCTTGGCTGGGCATGAGGGACAGTTGGGATGTCCCTCACTGAGGGAAGCCCTGGAGGAGGTGACTGACGGCCTGGAGGACACTTATGTTGAAATAGTGGAAGCAGAAGTGTGGCTGGCTGGACAGAGGGCCCAAATGTTAAGAGAACTGGTTGCCAAGAAGACCTGAGTTTGCCAGCATCCGTGGCGGCTCAGAACCATCTGTAACTCTAGTTCCAGAGGATCTGATGCACACTTTTGGCCTACAACGCATGGCCCACACATGGTATAAAGACATGCATGCAGGCAAAACACCGTTACACGATATCTGTATCGTGTGGCTGAGGACCCGGGAAGCAGAGGGAATGATGGGTAGTGGAGAGATGTCTCAGAGAAGCCAGTGCAGGGTAGGGCCAGGAAATGGAAGCGATCACCTGCATCAGGTGCCCTCCTACATGATGGCAGAGGCAGCTGGGGGGAGCTGTCAGCAGTGGAAGGAAGCAGAGTGTGGGCTCTGTGACAGCCTCTGCTCCATGTAAAGGGAACCTGGTGAGGCTAACTGTGGAGGCTGGGGAGAAACGGACAGTAGATGGGGTCATGTGAACGAGTGAGGAAGGAAGGCTACAGAAACATGGCTGTAAACCTTATCTTTCAGATGGCTGGATTTGCAGAACTGGCTATAGAGTTCAAGCATTAGAAGACTAACACTGAGACAGCGGAGTCGCTCACTGCAGGAGCAGGTGAGCTTCCTGTCAGCAGGAAGGAATGAAGGTTGGGACAGGCAGAACAACGGCTAGGTGGGCTGAGGATACCAGCACAGAGGAAGACAGTGATGTGACCATGGCGAGCCTGGTCATCAGTGACATCAAAACAACTCTGCAGTTGAGAGGAATACAAGGTCACTTCCTGCATGTTCTACGATCGCTCCAGGCCCTGCTAGATCTGAGGTGAGGCAAGCAACGTTCTTCCTGGTTCCCTCCAGTGAATCAAGTCTCGGCTTGACCCGACTACACAGCTTCCTTACACTCATCAGGGTCTTTGCACTTGCTCTTCTCTCTGCCTGGGTCCCTCGGCCCCTTTCTTCAGGCTGATTCTGTCACCTTCACTCTAAAAGTTGTCAATGCCTATCAACTCCTAGCCCCCTACTGTGTTCCTTTGCCTGCTTTTTCCTGTCTGTTTCACTAAGAACTGGATCTGGTCCTTACAATCCGGAGTCAATGGCCATGCGTGATTGGACGGGACGGGATGGTTAACCTAAGAGCGGCAAGCAGCTCCCTTAAGCTAGCAGGCACTAGCTTCAGAGCTCTCCAGAGCTAACAGACCGCACTTCTGCCATACGGGGCACAGCAGCCCTGGGTGTTGACTTGTCAGAGGTGTCAGCTAAGACACGCCTTCAGTTAGTTAACTGGTAACGTGTGTGGGTGCACGCACAGAGGCTAGAAGAGGACGTTCTGCTTTAACTCATTCTCTGCCTTGTTTCCTGAACAGTTTCTCACTGAACCTGGAACTAGGCCCCTGCTCAGCAAGCCCCAGCGATTCTCCTGTTTCCACCCCTTCCTTCACAGTGCTGAAGTTACAGGTGGGATTTGAACTCAGGTCCTTATGCTTGCACAGCAAGCTCTTACCCTCAGGGTTATAGCTTTAGTCCTCCCTCCCTCAGTTGTGTTGTTTTGTTTGTTGTTGTTTTTTCAGACAGGGTATTAATTCTCCCAGGCTGGCCTCAAACTTGCTGCGCAGCAGAGGATGGCCACCAGCTTCAGATCCTCCTGCACTCACCTCCTGAGCGCTGGGACCGCGGGTGTACCCACTATCTGTGGCTTTTGCACGGCTGGAACCCTGGCTTTGTGCGTGCTAGGCAAGGACTCCACTAACTGAGCTACAATCCCAGCCCTCAAATTTGTTCTTAAAAATCCTGGTCCTGTCTGTAGGAAGGTCCTGCATCTCTGGATGGGCTGGTCTTTGTCCTGTCATGTCCTCATGTCCCCAGGAAGCTTTCTGTTGTTCTAAAGAAGTCAACTCTCTTCTCAGCTCAGGCTATTAATTACAGGAATTTATATTTAACTGACCAAAAAAGAATGTCCGAGCTGTGGACACTCAGTACCCTGACAGCTCCTCAGCTGAGTCGCCCACACTAGCCTCCCTCTGTGCCTCAACACCTAAGCTTCTCCATCCCTTCTGCCTCCTTACTCTTCCTTAGTCTCCTCTTCCTCACACTCGTCTTAGATTTGTTTGTACCATAATTATTTTTATACTATATGTGTTTTATAATCTATCCAAAATCCTTTCAGAAGTAAATCTGCATGTTATAAAATCCATTTATTAAGCTGGGTATGGTGGCTCACACCTTTAACCTCAACACTTGGGAGGCAGGTCCAGGACGATTTCAGTGAGTTCAAGGCCAGCCTGGTCCACACAGTGATTTTTAGGCCAGTCAGGATTACATAGTCAGACTCTTGCCTTAAAACAAAACAGCACATCATGAATTACTGAATAGTGCCACAGACTCATCTTAAATTGCAAATTCTCCTATTTCATTGATTTTTTTTTAATTGTAGTAAAATGGACATACTATAAAATTTACTGCTGTGACCATTTCTTTGCGTTTGCAGCTCAGAGGCAGTGAGTGCATCCACAGACCTTTTAAAATCTACTTCTATATAGACAACCAAATTAGCTGATGTTTCCCCTTCCTGTCAAGTGATGCCACGGCCTGCTACAGGCTGCGGCTGACATGTGCACGCTTCTGTGTCTACCAGGCTCTGTGTGAGCTGGGCTATTCTCAAACACATTTATGGTTATTTTATTGGCTCTTGGCTGTTGATAATGGGACTGCCTCAAATACATGAAATATGAGTACCAAAGAGAGCAGCTGTTTTTATGCAAATGCAGTTGTCCTGGGTTTATGTACAGCAAGTTCCATTTCTCAGCTCTATGGCAGAGCAGAGAAGATGCAAAAACCTTCAGCAGAAGGAACATTACTTACTTGCCACCCCCAACATCACAGGACCGAGGGCGCCCGGACAGGGACTGGATCTAGGGAGAGACAAAGAAAGCTGGGCTTATTCAGTGCGCAGCCAAATTCAAGTGTTCGAAAAGTGGGGATTTGGGCACCCTAGGTAGAGCCAGCAACAGACAGAACAGGCCAAGGGCATCTTCAGAGAGCAGCCATTTAAGTTTTGAGGAATTTAAAATTTTTAAAGAAGTATAACATTAGCACATTTTCTTAACTTGATGCCTTATTAGTCTTCTAGTTAAATGTTACTTCCTACAAAAAGGCAAATGTTTTACACGTTCAGATTTTAAATAACTTTTTTAACTGGCAAAAGAGAAAAAGAAGGCAATATGAAACAAAACAGGGCGATGAAAGATGGAATGACTATTAAGGGAAAAGAATAAACTGGAGGACAGGGGTGGACACTGAACAGCCTCAGGACCAAGGGAGATGAGCTGGTCTCTCCAGACAGCAGCTCCTGGTCCTGGGTGGGGAAGCGCACACTACACACCTATTTTCTGTCTTCTGAAAAACATCTCAAAAACCACCTTCCACAGCCAAGGAAACGGAGAGCTGTTTAAATATGTGGATTTTTAACTCTTAGTTCTTTTTGGCCCCTAAACTTAAAACATTAACTATGTACCTTGCTTTTATAAAAAGCTCTCAAGACCATGCTAATGCTAGCAGAGATTTTGGGTAAACTTAATGGGGGAAAAGAAGCAGGACCAAGGGGATCGGATCCTGATAGGCTAGAACAGTTAAGCACAGTGACCAAACAACCCCAGGGGCTAGACAGAGGGACTTTTTTCCCAAGACAGCTCTCTCTACAGAAAAAGGCCAAGCTACACCGTGAGGCCTCTCTGCAGCGGGTGAGGTTTACAAAGTGAGGTGGAGGCCAGCGGGTAGGATTTTAGAACGAGCACTCAAAGCTCAGAGAAATCCTAGAAAACAGATGAGTCACCTGCTGCCTCTCAGAGAGCTCAGGTCAAAGGCCTTGGCTTTCAGAAAGGAGCATCTGGATCAGTAAGAGCCGGAGCTTGGCTCCAAAGCCTTCAGGCCCAGGTTTCTGAGTTTTTGACTGGGTGAGGCATAGCAGCTTAACAGTTTTTGTTTGAGAGCCAGCAAAGTCTCAGGGAAGCAAGGAAGCCACAAGGTCACAGCACTAATTCACCAACATAATCGTAATGACTTTTTTGGGTCAGCATTCCCCCAATATGTCTTTCCAGTATCAGTGAGTGTCCAGACAAATTCTCTCTTCCCTTTTCCCCAGTTCTGGCAGACAGCCAGGACGACAAGAACTGCTGAGGGCCGTTCACCCACCTCCTTGGTCTCCCACAGTTGTTTAGGCAGTGGCTTCGGGACATTTAACAGATTCTCTTCTTTCAGGGGACCAGGGAAGGATGCTCCTAAGGACAGAAGAAACACATTCACTGAATTAGAGTTAGAAGGCAGCCACTGACTCTTAGCCAAATAAATTAGTTTTGTTCAAAGCTGCCTGGGGTGGGGTGGTTGCAAACCTTCAATCCTACCACCAGGGAGGCAGAGAGAGAGACAGATGGATCTCTGTGAACTGGAGGCCAGCCTACTCTACAAAGGAAGTTCCAGAACAGCTAGAGCCACACAGAGAGACCTTTTCTCTAAAGAAAAGAAAAGAGGTATGTGTCACTCTGCCTGGTGAACATGATTTCTTTACCAAATGTTTATTTTTAACATACTCTCTCTTTTTTTTTTTTTTTTTTAATGTACATTGGTATTTTGTCTGCATATGTAAGGGGTTCAGGTCCCCTGGAACAGGAGTTACAGGCAGTTGTGAGCTGCCATGTGGGTGCTGGAATTGAACCCAGCTCCTTTGGAAGAGCAGACAGTACCCTTAACCGCTGAGCCATCTCTCCAGTTCCCTCTTTTTTCTTTAATGATATTATTTCATGTGTATAAGTATTTGGCCTGCATAGACATATGCATACTATGGAGGCCAGAGGACGAGGGCATCAGAGCCACCGTGTGGGTGCTGGGAATTGAACCCCAGTACTTTTAACCATGGGACCATCTCCCCAGCCTGTTTATCAAATATTATTGAAGTCTCTTGGGCAGGTGCTCTGTGTGTCATTGGAGAGGCTGGAGAAACAAAGCATTCCAATTTGAGGAAACCTGTAAACTAGCCAGGTGACAACATGGCTACGGCTGTCACTCAAGCTGAAGGAAGCCCAGGACAGTAGGATACCCTTGCTCAGAGCAGAGATGCAGAAGAGCATCGAGGCTTTGGAAATGGGTGCTCCTGGCTCCCTGCAGAGACACAGCAAAGGGCATTCAAGCCAGAGAGTAGGGAGTAAGTAAAAGGCCTAAAGAAGAAATGGTGGCAAACACCAGCCAGAGCGCTCTTTTTATTTGGGCTATAGGATACGTAAAAAAGAGCAGTAGGAAATAAAATGTGTTAGTCTGAGACCTGACCAGGGCCCTGCAGGCATGGAAGAAAGGGATAAGGAGAAACACACTCTAATCAAGAAAAGATGAAATGAAGAAGGTAACAAGCGGAGATGAAGCGGATAGGGAGATGGCTCAGTAGATAGAGCACTTGCCCCTTCAGAGGGAGGGTCAGGGTCTGCATCCCCAGAGCCCGTGTAAGAGCCAGGTAGGCATGGCAGCTGCTCAAAATCCCAGAGCACCAAGGGCTCCCTGGAGCAAGCTAGCTAGATTAGTTTAAAGCAGCAAGTGCTGGATTCAGCAGACTTTCTACTTCAATAAACAAAGTAGAGAGTAATCAAGGAACATACTCAGCTTTGGGCTTCCACATGCATGTATGTGCAGATGGCCCCTCCTCTATGTCCACATTAACACACACACACACACACACAGAGAGAGAGAGAGAGAGAGAGAGAGAGAGAGAGAGAGAGAGAGAAAGAGAGAGAGAGAGAGAGAGAGAGAGAAAGACAGAGAGAAGAGGAACAGCATATGGAAATCACAGTGGCAGTAACACTGCTTGGTAATGTGCTTGGGCCTGGGAATAAAGAACTGATAACCCACCCCGTTGGCTGAGCAGCTGATGAGGGCTCCAGGCTCTTTAAAGTTACAAAACAACCTGTCTATACAGGAAGAGACTGCTCCTTGGCTGTCTGCTTTAACTATCTATCAGACATAACCATGAAAGCAAGAAGGGTGAGCCACAAATCAGGCAAAGGCTTTTTGTTCTCAGACACAGACCACAGGTCAAAGGTGAGCTGTGATGAACTGTGTGATATGATATCAGGAAGATTATTCAACAGCAGACCCTGGAGACTGCTCAGAATGAGGGGTGCTGAGGGCTCTGAGCACTGCCCAGCTCCACTGTGACTGCCTTGACAATCCTGCCCTTGGCCCACACAAGATGAATAATGGACCCCAGGAAGCCACTTGTAACTGAGATCAAAGCTAGGTGCTTGGCACAAGCCTGCAGTGCCAGCATGGAGGAAATAGAAGCAGAGGATCAGAGTTCAGGGCCAGCCTGGGCTACATGGTACTAAATCTCAAAGGACAAAGAACAACAAAATGGGGACCACATTTTCACAATGAACTCTGAGAAAAGCACTTAAAATAAAAACTCTCAATTAAGTTTCTTTTCTTTGCAAGTTAGGAAGTTAGGAGATAATTACAACTGCAGCGTCCCAGAATGGCCGGCCTCCCTGCACCACCGCCACAGTTCTGAGCGCCTTGACTTCTGCGGAGGCAGTCAGGCTTTGAGTACCGCTTGCTGTCTTAGTCCTGCTATTTAAGCCACTCGCTCCCTCTCCTTCTTTCTCTTCATTTCCCTTGATGTGCTGCTAAGGATAGGACCTAGCACCCCGCAAAGCCCCACATACCTACCCTGAGCCACCCTGGCTGGATTTCTCTCTCTTGAAGAGTGTGTTTTGCCTATGTTCTTGTTGGCTCTCTTTTTCTAATCACTAAATAAATGCTTCAGAGATGTAAGCCTCCTGAGGTCCTAAGACTCTGCGTGACGCTTAACACACAGTGTCTGGGGCACGCAAACCCACAGGGACTCTCCACAGCTGGGAGACAAGAGCAGCAGACTCTGTGAGCCTACACAGTTCAAGGCAATGGGAGAACAAGGATAGAAATATGCTTTGAAGGTTCTGCAGGAGGCTAGGCAAGGCAGCATCAGGACTCAAGGCTCAAAAGGGATCAGTCACAGGAATGTGACTGGGACAGGCTACTGTGTAGTAACAGATTGTTTCCTATGAAGAGTTCATTGTGATTTCCTTCCATATGCAGGTTTGTTGGAAATCCTTTCAAGAATTAACTGGGGACGGGGGCTGAAGAGATGGCTCAATGGTTAAGGGCACTGTCTGCTCTTCCAAAGGACCCAGGTTCAATTCCCAGCACCCACACAGCAGCTCATAACTGTCTGTAACTCCAGTTCCAAGGGTCTGACACCCTCACATCAATGCACATAAAAATTAAAAAATTAAATAAATAATTTAAAAAAAGAATTAACTGGGGATGATCCTGAGGCCAAATGGTCAATTGAATCAGTTTCAAGTTTTTATGATTTTATTCAACACCTAAAAGGGTTGCTCAGAAAAGGAGTGTGCAGGGTGCTGTCAGAGGGCTCTGCCTCTCATGCAGGAGACCCATGCTTTTCGTGTCCTCCACAGGCTGGGTCTCTGACACACAAGCTAATAAGCCGTTCAGCTTCAGATTATGAAAATGTCATCTCAGCTTATAAAGATCTCATAGTGCCTGGGACTGAATGAGTACATACACAGGGTTGGGGCATTGGGCCCCCATTTGCTGATGGTATTCAGTGTCATTTCAGCAGATCTCTAGCATGGTTTTATCTGGCTTTACAAAACTCAGTATCTGCAAAATGTGTAATTCGACCTTATAATAAATTTACACGCACTTTTCTTACTTTGAGATGGGATCTCATGTATCCCAGGCTAGTCTCAAGCTCTATGTGTACCTAAGGCTATCCCTCAATTTCTGATCCTCCTGCCTCCACCTCCCAACTGGAGGCTTACAGGAGTGCACCAACATGCCTGGTTTAGTTGGTGAAACCTGGGCTTCATGCGTGCATGGCAAGCAATCACCATCTGGGCTACATCCTCAGCCCAGACTGCGCGTCCCTTGCACTGCTGTTTAAATCTCTCAGTTACTCACAGTGGCTTTCTAAGCAGGCCGAGGCCGAGGCGGTGCCGGGGGAAGGCAGTGAGACAGCTGCCTGCGTGCTCGGCTAATCCACATTTTCATGTGCTTACAGCTCTTGCTTCCCAGCACAGCCTTGTGACTGTGGTACTGAGAGAACCTGGGCAACAAGGGGCCATTGCAATCTAGTCACACGTTTTCTTTCTCGTGGCTTTGATCATGTCGAATTCTCTTAGAGCATCAAGGGTAAGTAATCCAAGTAACCGTTGTCAGCCTTTACATCAATATGACTGTCAAACTACTGACGGGAGGTCTCTCTCTTTCTCTCTCTCTCTCTCTCTCACACACACACACACACACCAGCACCCCACCCCGACATCTGCTCATACCTTCCCCATGGCCATCATTTTCACCATCACAGAAACCTGATAGGAAAGAGAAAAACAAACACTTTAGTACATGGTACTCTCATGTATTCATGTATTAGAATAACTTTCGGTTTGAAATATAATTTTTGAAAAGTTCACAGCAGCTTTGACATAGCTCATTCAAGGTGCTTTAGAGTTCACCCTGGGCACAGATGCAGTTATTCCAAATCCAGAGTTGATGCCCAAGTGCTTTTCCTTTAAAAGCGTCTTAGTCTTAAATGTTCTTGCTGACTCAAGAGAACAGTGGTTGACAAAGTCTGGAAACCTGTCTTCAGAATACCAAGCAACAAAGCTTGTCTTCTCACGTTTGCATATGTGTTGTCCTGGGGAGCAGGTGACTCAGGGTCCACGCCACTGTTCTGACACCTGCCATGGAGCCAGGTTCCACGAAGGGTGCTGTACCATAGTCTGGATTCGTATGTAAGTTGTTTAAAAAGTGTATCTGGAGTCTAAGCCAAGGTAAGGGTGTATGTGGCAACTACCCACAAGGACGAGGAGTCAGCCCTCACTGAATGCGGAGGAGCCAGCTCAGGACGCCTGCGGCAGAGGGCCGGGGCCCGGCCCCGTTAGCACTTCTAAGCCAAACAAAGAGCCAGCCCAACACGGACTAGCGACCTGTTCTGCTCAGAGCAGTCCACTGCACTGCCTGAGTTCTCAGCATGGAAGCAGGTTAAAACCTAAGTCAGAGCTTTAAACCCAGCTCAGCTTAGGTAAGTTTCCAGGTGAAATGGCTAAACTATAAATCAACACAACTGAAACCCCTAATGGTCATTCATTCAGCAGGTACTTGCTCCGTTCCCAGAGTGTGCATTAGAGGGCTGGGCGCAGGTGACGGAGTGCAGACACTACTGGTTCTGGAACCAGCACTCTGAGCAGGGTGCCTTCCCAAAGTCCATGTTCCTAGCCAGTGCGCTGTGCCGGGAAGAGTTCAGGCAGGTGGAAGTAAGGTTAAAGGGCTGCCTCAGTGAGCCAGGAAGAGGAGTGGGAAGGAGTAAGGGAAAGGGGAGAAGAGGCAGATAAGGGATACAGCACATAGCAGGGCAGGGAATGGGGACATCTGGCTATGCACAAACTAGAGCAATGGGGGACATGGAAAGGGTGAAGCACAGAACAAAGGCCTGGGCTAGAACTGAGCCTTCGAGACTTTTCTTGCGGCACAGCATGAGGCTCTGGGGCAGGCTCGAGGCCAGGGCACCAGAGAGAAAACCAAATGACTAGACAAGAAGCAGTAAAGTAGGGCACACGGCAGCGAGGACCAAAACTACAGGGCACACTGCAGCGAGAGAAAGAGTCGAGCTTACTGTGACTGCAGTGTCGGGGTGAAGGCTAAGGAAATAAGAGAAATATGATATGGCTCTAGGTGTTCCACTTAAGTGACCTGAGGATGGTGGCAGCCGGGATTGACAGGTTTATTTGAAACGAACATCTAATAAATAGCCAAAGTTATATTTCTTCTACTACTACTACACAGCCACAGACACACACACAGACAGGCACACACACAAATAACAAAGGGCACAACTATAACAAAAGGGTTAAAAACAAAAAGCAGGGAGTTATGACTAGTTATCTGGAAATAGAGATTAATTGACAGCAATGATCAAGGTCACATGCGTTGCCTTGGAGCGTGACAGGGCTGATCTCGACACATCTGCGACCACGTTCCTTTTATGTGCTCCCATGTCCGGCAAGCCGAAATAACTCCTCACAGACTTAATGTGAAGTAGACACATTAAGTAGACACAGTATAGGTACTGTAACCACCGTGTATCCTAAGAGAAGTTTCTAGAATCTGGGCCTTCCAATCTGGGCCTTCCTGCCACCCTGAGAACACACTTTTGTTTCATATTTTATTTTATTCTCTCTCTCTCTCTCTCTCTCTCTGAATGTGAATGTGTGTGCATGTGGAGGTCAGAGGACAAGCCTGGGTGCCGGTCAACTTCAACCTTCTTTGAGATGGTCTCTCTTTTTATTTGCTACTGCATACTCCAGGCTATCTGGCCCATGAACCCCTGAGGAGTCTGCTGTCTCCACCCCCAGCCTTCCCATGGAAGTACTCCAACATCTGGCTCTTACATGGATTCTGGGGATACAAATACAGGCTCTCATGTTTGCACGACCAGCATTTTACCTCGCGAGCCTTCTCCCTGGCTCTTGGTGCCTCTTTAGAGCCGAGGTGCTTGTGTCAGGTAGACATGTGTCATAAACAGGCTTAGCTCTCTTATGGCTACTTGATTTTAAACTGTCTCCTTAACACTGCGAGTGAGAGCTTGTTGCTGGTTGAAGGGTCATTGAGACACTGATTACCTCTCTACCCCTCAAATGAGGCTTAAGGGACAACAGTCCTCAGAGAGGGCAGTGTATAGTCACAGCCTGCACTCTTTTGCCCTTAGCTCCAAGGCTGCTCCCTGAGGAACAGGGCCACTTTAGCTCCTTCTACACGCTACTGTGAGAGAAGGACAGTTTGGGGATAAAGCCAGCTGTGGGCCAGGGCAAGTGTCACAGAGAGCCAAGGATCCATCCATATGTATATATGTATATAAGAAACAGTAATCAAACTGCACATGCTACCAGGAAAATAGGTAATTAAACAAGAAGAGAGAGATTATCACACCCCTGTTTGGTTGTATAAAAGCTTATTTCTGTCATGTACAACTTTGTATCATTTGTGTCTCCTTGTCATGTAACTCAGTAACCATTATGAGAACTACCAACCATGTATCAGGCTAATGGCTTTGCTTCCTGGGGACACAAAATGAGCTCATGTAGCTCTACTACAAGCAGACGCTCCTCCCTCCTCATCTGCCCCCAGTGATGACAACGATGAAGGCTTCCATCACCGTGCCCAGCAAATATTCCCAGGAAAGGGACATTATTGTTCCAATGACAGAACCTGGTCCTGGGCTTTGCTTGTATTTTCCCATCACTTTAAAAATCTTTACTTTATTTGGTGGGTCCTATAAAAAGAAATACTTTTTGGTGGAGCTAGTCGATATTTTTAAAATCCAAAAGGAAAGAAAATGAAAATTTTTAATGAATTACAGGGGGAAAATACATAAAACCATTCAAAATAGCTCCTACCAACAAATATAATTCTCCAGAAATAATTCCCATCCTTGGAGACTTGAATAATATTTTAAACACACTGGCTTTCCCATGTAAACACATCCAAATATGGATGTGTTTCTGAGTTCTGTGCTACTTGAAGGAGGCTTCGCGAGCAGGCACACAGTGCAGACATCCATGCTGGGGGCTGGCCCACCTTCCGCGGTTGGCAGACGCTGTGACCCCACGGTTTCCAGCATGTGAAAATGAGAGTCTGCCAACGTTCCCAAGGCTGCCCAGCGGCTCTGCCCAGGCCTCGCCCCTCCCGTGTTCCTTGTGTCTTGTTGCTCTGGGCTGCTCCACTGCTCATGCTCAGCCTCACACCTGCTGACAGTGCTCACCTCGTCCCTCAGAGACTATGTCTCTTAGAGTAAGTATCCAATCCAATTTCTTAGTTACCTTCTTTCTTTTTAAACTCAAATGCTCTGTAAGTTACCTATGGCTCCCTTGTTGTCTCTAGGCCGTTAGGATCTTCTAGAAAAGAGTAATTTCGGCACAGAGGGCGAAGCCTGGGCAGAAACACAGGAGTTCTGGGGAAGAGTCTACTCAGCTAGCTGGCTCCCAGTCAGGGTGACAGAGACCTTGCTGTGCGCACAGGCACCCCCCTGGCTACAGTCTCTGCTTTTTAAGGCGTTGTTTATACATATCCATCTCTACCTATCCCGAAGCCAATCTCCTCTAACTCCCCACACACCCCACTTCTCCACCGCTGCTCAGCGACCCATATCCAATTCCAATTTCCCTGCCAACTTCACTCTCATATTCCCATGTGTGGAAATACAGCAGATGTCCCCGACCAATTCCAAAGCTCTCAGGTTTTATAAGCAAAGAGTCATTTCAGCAAATGAATTGTACCAAGGGAACAAATATAGTAACAATTACTATCAAATCCCATCCGTACTATATGCAAGGGAAAAAGAGTGTGAATGGCTCTTCAAGGAAGGAACAAACATTTTAGGCTTTAAATAGACCAAAACTGTAAAGAAAACCGGAAAAGCCAGTATCTAGGCCAGCCCTCACACTCAACGTCAATCTATATGCAGAACAGATAATTCAAGCCTGTGTTCTTTCTTGATTAGAAGGCCCAGAATGACAGGCTTGGGAAGTGTCCAAATGAAATGTGGTTACTTTGGGTGTAGGCTAGATGTGAGCACCTAGAGTGAGTTTTAGGCTGTGCTCAGAACTGTGTGACTTCTTGACATGTCTCCAGTAGTAAGCGTGCTCTGTGCTGGGCACTGTGTCAGGCAGGGCAAGACTTTTAAGATGCTGCCTTCAAGAAATTCAGCCTAAGCAAAGGGAGAGGGGTATGTTTACAGGGAGCAGTAGTCACAGCACCTGCTTGTCGGAGCTCGGGAAAGCGGAGGATGTGGGTAGCTCAGGAGCAGAGAGGGAGGAAGGCCGTGAAAGGCTCCACAAAAGTACTGAGACTTTCACACTGAGGTAAGAGAAGAAGACATGGGCAACAGGATGAAATGGCAGGAGAACACCAGCGAGTTCACACAGCCGGGAAGAGCAGGCTGGCAACGGGATGGGGAGGCGTGCTATAGCTCAGGTCATTCCAAACCAGGTCTTGAAGCGGGGTGAGGGGTAGACGGGGTTAACAATGGAGGCACGGGGCATGAGGGGGCACGTGTCTACCCTTTCATGGCTCCTGGCCTTTCTCTTTCAGCCTTTCTCTGGCCCACAGGAATGTGTTCTGAGCAGACATGGCAAACAAGTAGCTAACATACTCAGCTTCCATTCTGTTCCCTCTCCCTCGCCTGAGACTTGCTCTCTGCAGAGGTCTTCTTGGCTGTCCCTGGTTCTCCTCGACCCCTGGTCTTGATTACTCCTCCCAGAAAGATTGCCTGTGCTGGTACTGCAGGCCCCTGGGAGGGTTTGCTTCATCCTGAGGTTCAGCCACACAAGGTCCATGAACACACAGAATGAAGCCACTTCCTCTAATCTGGTTTTACCAGTAACAAAAGGAAGCCTTGGAGAACCCAACAGAAATTTAGGCTGCAAGGATGTATGCTAGGACAAAGACCAGCAAGGATGCTACTGCAAGAGCCCGTGTGAAAGGTGATGACCGCCTAGGAAAGCGCTGCTGCCAGGGAAGAGGAATCTCAAGAGCCAAGAGATGCCAACAGGGAAGCGGGTGCCACGGGAGAAGCAAGGAGGGGAAGCATCCTAACTCTGTCGTGAACATACACTCCCTGCTGGGAGCTCCCCTCCGAAGACCACCAACCTGGGGAAGGCCATGCACTGCACGCAGACAGTGCAGAAGCAGAAAACAAAGATGCTGTTAGCAGGGGCCTGTGTGTCTTACCCATGTATGGGGCGGGCCAGGCTGACTGGCCTCCTCCTCCATAGGGATCCTGGGGCTTGGTGCTCAGAGCACTCGTGTGAAGAGCAGAATCGGAATTGGTCCTAAGGAGGGGAGGAGGAGAGAGTCTGACTGAAAATCCATGTTTTCCTTAATGGAATGCATTTTTTTTTTCCTAAATATTATCAACAGGAGAGAAGATGAGATAATAGACTCACTAACATTCACACAATGAAGGTTCAGGACCTACCTGCAGTCCTTTACATAAAAAAGACATATGAGGACCACCATATGTCCAAAAAGAGTTTCATTTATGCTTGGATAGCCTTACACTATGAAGCCAATGGCACAAGGCCGGCCTCAGGTTCATGGCTTCCCTAGGATCACCCTTTCTCTGCAACTCAGAAGATGCTCTGCGGCCAGTCCAGTTGGGGGCTGTACTAGGCTTGCTGAGGATTCTTGCGCTTTGTGGAGAAGCACCTGAAACAGTGCTTCTTAAGCCTTGCCAGGGAGAAAGAAGGTCAAGGTACTACTACCACACCCTTCTCTTCATTCCCCCTCGGTGGCACGGTGTGGCTTTCCGGCAGCTGTGCTATGGCATGGCACAGTAGACCGAACTCAGACAACGACTCCGGCTGCAAGAGGTACAACAATGTAACTGTTCTCTGTCCATTTTGTTTGTTTTAGAGAATGCTACTGTGCTTCTTTCAAACAAGATGTTATGTATGTTGGCACGCAGTGGGCTTATTGTTGCCAGCTGACATGCCCTGGTGGGTACACCTCACATCTCAGATTCTCAGCAGCAGCGCTGAGTGTCGACAGCCATACACACACAGAGCAATGTTCTTTCAGCGCTTCAGTGGCTTTTCAGAGTGTAAATGGTCCTGGACAAAAGTTTGGAAGCTGCTGATCAATAGCAAGCATTTCAAATGCCCCAGGGTAGCTGCAGTGTAGGCGCAGCTTCAGCTCCACAGGAGCTACGTAGTTACTCCACCCGAAGGTCAGGTCAAACTGTCAGACAGGGCACTCGGGCAACTTCAAGTTAGCCTCCAGTGCTTCAGGGAGACGACAAGCAGGGACCTGTTGGGACGGAGCAGGAACAGTGCGAGCCCTGGGGCTCCCAGTTCCTCCAGAGTCACAGAAACTCAGGAAGCACCAGTCAAACACAGAGACATGACTGGAAATGGGACTGTAGACTGGCTATCGGACCATGTAGACAAAGTTATGGTTACTTTTGTTAATTGCCCCTCTTAGGCCTTTTACTGGCAGGGGCACTCCTAGCTGGCCATGGAATAACACACGAAGGAGGGAGAGAAGAAATGAGGCTGGCAGATGCCGATCACGACAGAAACACTTTGAGTGGGCACAGGGCTGCTTGTAAGCTTCTCCTGCACACGCTGAAAACTTCACACCACTAAAAGATTTTAAGTTAAAAAAATTTTTTTCCAGGGTTCGGCTCTAGAGCCCACAGTGGCTTTCAGCTTGCAGTCCCCCTGCCTCAGCTTCTGGAGTACTGGGGTTACAGCCTGAGCCACCACACCTGATTCAAGGGCTTTATTTTGTTTTTGTTTTTTTTTTTCAAATTCCCCCTTGCATATTCACTAAAGGGCTCCGGGGCACGCCATTTATCCTCTGAAAGCAGGAAAGGGCACTCATTCTTACAGTGTTGGGACTGAAAAATGACCCAAGTCTTTCCTAAAGTGTGGCCCAAAGTAACCCCCAGAACAGTTGATATTTATCGTCCACTGTGCCTCTATGTACTATTCTCTTTAACCCTCACAGCCATCCTCTCATGGGTACCTCCATGTTCAAACTAAGGCACACAGGAGTTACCTTGCTAGGAGCACTTGGTAGGAGGAAACTTTGGTGGTCCCCTTTAGACCTCACGTTCTTACCTGACTATACCATCTCCTACACGCTCAATGTTATTCTTTTATCACTTCACATAAAAACAACTGTTATAAACAAACTGGGAAGCAATAACATGTAAAGACTACCGGAACCAATCAAGTCTGTCTCCTTGAAAATGTGTTCCTATTATGAAACAGTCCACATACCTGTTAAGTGCAGACGTTAGCCTGAATCCAGGGTGCTTTTCTTCCTTCCAAGGTGGCTGTTGCCTTTAAAAACCAGAATGACATAGAAAGGAAGAAGCTTATATGTCTTATATCCACTTATGAGCGAGTATATACCATGTGTGTCTTTCTGCTTCTGGGATACCTCATTCAGGATGAACTTTTCTAGATCCCACCACTTGCCTGCAAATTCCATGATTTCCTTGTTTTTAATTGCTGAGTGGTATTTCAGTGGTATTGCTGAGTGGTATAATTGTGTTACTGTACCAAAATTTCTGTATCCATTCCTCAGCTGAGGGATATCTGAGTTATTTCCAGATTCTGACTATTATGAATAAAGCTGCTACAAACATCGTTGAGCAAATGTCCTTGTACACTTGACCATATTTTGGATATATGCCTAGGAGTGGTATAGCTGGATCTTGAGGAAGCAGTATTTCTAATTGTCTGAGAAAGAGCCAGATTGATTTCCAGAGTGGTTGTACCAGTTTACATTCCCACCAGCAGTGGAGGAGGGTTCCCCTTTCTCCACAACCTCTCCAGCATGTGTTGTCACTTGAGTTTTTGATCTTAGCCATTCTGATGGGTGTAAGATGAAATCTCAGGGTTGTTTTGATTTGCATTTCCCTGATGACTAAGGACATTGAGCATTTCTTTAAGTGTTTCTCTGCCATTCAATATTCCTTTATTGAAAATTCTGTTTAGCTTTGTACCCCATTTTTAATTGGATTACAACATACTAAAATCTGTATATCTAAAGAAGCTAAGCAAGAAGAACGCTGGATAAGATGATCAATCTTCATTCAGAAAGGTAAACGGGATGGACATCGGAAGAGGGAGAAAACAGAGAACAGGACAGGAGCCTACCACAGAGGGCCTCTGAAAGACTCTACCCAGCAGGGTATCAAAGCAGATGCTGAGACTCATAGCCAAACTTTGGGCAGACTGCAGGGAATCTATGAAAGAAGGGAGAGATAGAAAGTCCTGTAGGGGAACAGGAGCTCCACAAGGAGAGCAACAGAACCAAAAAACATGGGCCCATGGGTCTTTTCTGAGACTGATACTCCAACCAAAGACCATGCATGGAGACAATCTAGAACCCCTGCACAGATGTAGCCCATGGTACCTCAGTGTCCAAGTGGGTTCCCTAGTAAGGGGAACAGGGACTCTTTCTGACATGAACTCAGTAGCTGGCTCTTTGATCACTTCCCCCTGAAGGGGAAGCAGCCTTACCAAGCCACAGAGGAAGACAATGCAGCGAGTACTGATGAGACCTGATAGTCTAGGGTCAGATGGAAGGGGAGGATGACCTCCTCTATCAGTGGACTTGGGGAGGGGCATGGGAGGAGAAGAGGGAGGGAGGATGGGATTGGGAGGGGGTTACAGCTGGAATACAAAGTGAATAAACTGTAATTAATAAAAAAATAAATTTTTAAAAAGAAAAAAAAAAAGGAAGGAAGCTTAAGCTTTGGGACCAATGGAGTGCTTTAGGTCCAGGCTTGTCAGCTGGCTTCCCTAATCTAGCTATATAGGCCAAGAGTTACCTAAAATGTCCAGGCCTTTCTTCGAGTATCACTATGGAGAGGAGGGCAGACTGAATGGTCTCTCAGTATCCAGAAGCTCTGATTTTCAAGGTAACTACTACCAATCTATAACAGAGCATCAGCTAGTTGGGCAAACTTAAATGCTGGCTAGAAAGGGCCAAAAAAAGGGCTAACTCCCCTCTAAGGGAAGGCAGGCCTTATTCCAGGTATACAAAAGTTAACCCTGATCATGTACCTTGAGAGTGTGTGTGCAGGGGCCACTTTGGCAATCCTGGATGTGAACATTTTTCTCTCTCATGTGGAAGGCCAGGAAAAGCAATATACTTGCTAGCCATCCTATGAAAATGTTCACCTGACCAACCCTAGGGCTAAGAAGCAGAAGACACTTTTCTCAGATACAGGACGAAACACATCCATCCAGAGATCTGCCTTTTGTGACTTAAAATACAACACTGTATTCATCATCTTACAACCTTGAAACGCAGGACTCCTGAGGAGGCTGAAAACCTATGTGAGGTGGGCCAGTGTTAGCCATTCTGACCTCCTTTCTTGGATCTAGACTAAGTTAACTATGAATAAGGGCTCACCCATGGGCAGTGGTGGGGAGTTCGAGGCCAGCCTGGGGCTACAGAGCAAGTTCTAGAATAACCACGGCTATCCACAAAAACCCTGTCCCGAAGATCAAAAGAAAAAAAAAAAAAAAAAAAAAAGGAAAGAAAGAAAAGAAAAAAAGGGCTCAGTAATGTTTGCCCAAAAAATCAATTAAAAAAAAGATTCAGAGTTGAGACTCAGAGAATTAATTTTTAATGTCTTTTGTTTTTTTAGTCTTAAACTGACCTTGAACTCATGGTAGTCCTCCTGCTTCAGCCTCCCAAGTTCTGGGATTAGAGGTGTGGGCCACACGCCTGGTGACATCTACAGTATACGTCTACGTAGAGGTGTGAAATGATGCCACACCTGACAGACAGCCTTCATGTCAGGATGGGCCTTCTACGGATTCACAGCCCACTCTAAGCCAAGCTCACTGCACGTTTCCCAGTAAGTCTTTCATTCCTCTCAGTAGCTGAGACATGCCAGAGAAGGCCTTTGTTTTTCACGTCCACCAGAAGACATCACATCAGACATCTCGTTGAATGTTCCTCTATGTATTTCCATTTCAATCTAGGTTTGCTTAAGTAATTTTTAGTCCCTATTCTCTTACAAGCTCAGAACCATACACGGAAAGGCTGAGGGTTTTTGATGTTGTGATTTGAGACAGGGACTCATTTCATAGCGTGGGCTACCTGGAGTTGACATGTCACTCGGACTAACCTCAGGCTGTGACCCTCCTGCCTCTTAAGTGTTGGGGTTGCAGGCATGTATCTCCACACTCAGCTCAAGCCTTACATTTTCTAAGATAAACAAAATTCAACGTTAAAAATATCAGTCTGAATCAGACACTTGGGAGGCAGAAGCACGAGGATTGCTGTGAGTTCTAGGCTAGCCTGGTCTACATATCAAGCTCTAAGACAGCCTTAACTACATGTAAAGACCCATCTCAAATTAAAAACAAAAACAAACAAACAAAAAAACCCAAAACCCAGCAACAACAAAAAATCATGGCGGAACATGTCTCTCATCCCAGTATTAGAGGTAGAGGCAGGAGGATCAGGAGTTCAAGGCCATCCCTCGCTACATCACAAGTTTGAGGCCAGCCTCAGCTATGTCCTGTCTCAAATATTAATAATAATAATAATAATGATAATAAAATAATAAATAAACAAGCCTAAAACAGTATTCAATATGGTTAAAATAAAGAGAAACCAACTTACAGAGAGATTCTCTCCTATTGTTAAAATACTTCTACGAAACAAACAATTTCTATACAGCTCACTTACCTTGGCCAGCTCTCATCCAGGGGCTGCGAGGAGTAACTGGATGCCAAAGTATTCCCGTCGAAGTAGAATTTTTAATAAAGGAAAACAGAATTTACGGAATGCTGAAGCGGAACTGAGAGCTGAGCCTGGAGGGTGAGCCACCAAGCTTTTGGTGTAGACAGCTGAGGGTGCTGTCTACACCGAATGAGGCACGCCCCACGCCTCACCAGTTCCACGCCGGGGTCCTCTAACCAGGGTCTTCTCTAGACTCACGTGCGTGTGGAGGTCAGAGGTCATCCTTGGATGCCATTCCTCTGAAGGCAACAACCTTTTTGCTGTTGTTTGGTTTTGGTTTTCTGAGATAGGGTTTCTCTGTGTAGCCTTGGCTGCCTTGGAACTTGCTATATAGACCAGGCTGACCTCCAACTCAGAAATCCTCCTGCCTCTGCCTCCCGATTGGTGAAATAAAAGGCATGTGCCAGTGTGCCTGGCTCCTTGTTTGTTGAGACAGAGCTTCTCCTTGGCCTGCAGCCTGCTGATGAGACAAGGTTGACTGGCCAGCAAACCCCAGGGACCTGTCTGTCTCTGCCTTTCTCGAGTTGTGATTACAAGTGTGTGCCACCATGTCCATTTTTTTCACATGTGTTCTGGGGATCAAACTCAGGTCCTCAAGTTTGTATGTAAGTACTTCGTTCCCTAAGCTATTGCTTCAGCTCCTCCATCCTGTGTGTGTGTCTCCTGCCCAACATTTCTAAGAACTTTGTCTCCTTGCATGACAAACTCTGGCAGGCCTCTCTTTCTCATGGGATGGATGGACTCAGGCCCAGTTAGTTTTGGTCAAGTATCTCATTCTCCTGCAAGCAGTGATTGCTTCAGGGATAGGTTCAAGACAGGACCAAGAACAGTACTTTCCAGGTGGGAATGGGGTATCTGAGGCCCGGTGGCTCCTCTTGAGGAATGCTTGTCTCTACAAGAAGTCAACACCACAGAGGTAGTCGTAATGATATCATATGGTACCCGGGCCACAGCCCTTGGGTTCCAGTCACGTAAGCCAGTACAGTTCCTTTTCCCTCAGGAGGCTGAGCCAGGAACACGGCAAGATCGAGAGCAGAGTTGGCAACTTAGTGAGACTCTCTTACACACAGAGTAAGAACCAGACGTGGTGTGGCTACAGCTCCATGGCGGAGCAATGGTCTAGTGTGTGCGAGACCGTGGGTTCAATCTCCAGCACTGGCGGATGCACTTCCTTTTTGAGTTTGTTTTTGAGACGTGTTGGAGTGGGGGTGTTTGTTTGTTTGTTTGTTTTTGAGAGGTCTTGCTATAATAGCCTAGGCTAGCCTAGAACATATCATGTAGCTCAGGATAGCCTCCGACTCACAGCAATCCTTCCACCTCGACCTCATGAGTGCTGAGATTATAGGGGTGTGTAACCATACCTGTCTAAAAATTTTGTTTTTCCAAATTAAGGTGAGTTACTGTTGCTTATGAACCAAAGGAACTATATTGAACTTGAAGCAGGCATAAATTCCTCACGGAAAGGGCTTTGTTCTCTAGGTCCTGTGCTGCTCACTGGGTCTGGCATGTCTGAAGACCCATGCCAAATTCATGGAGAGACACGTGCAATGTGTAATGCACACAGTACAGCAGAGCTGTTAGTGCTGGCTTAGTGAACTGCTCTCAGAGGACTCTCCTAGAACATTCTAAGTCATGTTAGTCTGCTTCAAAAAATGAAAACGCTAGGGACGGTAGCACATACCTTTGATTCCTAGCACTCTTGGAGGCAGAGACAGGCTTATTTCTGTAAGTTTAAGACCAGCCTGGTCTATATATGTAAGTAAGTAAGAGCCAGGCAGGGCTACACAGTGAAACTCTGTCTCAAAAATAAGTTAACAAAATAAGTAATTAATTTAAGAAGGGAGCTGGGAAAATGGCTAACCAGTTCAGTATGGGCAGCTTACAACTACCTATAATCCCAGCTCCAAGGCCTCCCCAGGAATCTGCGCATACTCCTGCTCGCACACATATTATTAAATATACTAAAAGTAAATCTTGGGGCTGGAGAGATGGCTCAGAGTTTAACAACACTGGCTGCTCTTCCAAAGGTCCTGAGTTCAATTCCCAGCAACCACTTGGTGGCTCAAAACCATCTATAATGAGATCTGGTGCCCTCTTCTTGCATGCAGGCACAAATGCAGGCAGGATACTGTACACATTAAAAAATAAATCTTTTTTTTTTTTTTTAAGTAAATCTTAGCTGGACAGTGGTGGCACACACTTTAATCCCAGCACTCAGAAGGCAGAGGCAGAAGGATCTCTGAGTTTGAGGCCAGACTGGTTTACAGAGTGAGTTCCAGGACAGCCAAGGCTACACAGAGAAACCCTGTCTCGAAAAAACATAGTCAGTCAGTCAGTCAGTCAGTCAATCAATCAATCTTTAAAAAAAAAAATCACCTTTTAACCTTCTCTACTTGCTGAAAGGCTTTACAGCTTAATAGGCACACACGGCACAAGGCTCTGGGTCCTCTTGCCTCCACTCTGCCCTGACTTCCCTCATCTTCACTCTGCCCTGATTTCTCTCACCTCCACTCTGCCCTGGGTCCTTTCACCTCCACTCTGCTCTGGGTTCCACTACCACACACTGGACTTTCCAGCCAATGCCCTTGCTAGTGCCGGTTTCCTCTCCTGTTCTCTCTGGTGGACACAGCCTCCTTACAGACCTGGTTCACCTCTAACGACATCACCGGGTCCACTCTTTTTGTCTCTTATGCCACTGACTGGATCAATACCTACTTACAATCACCAATTCCGCTTTTGATCCCAAATCTTTATTTCTTAACAGAGAAATAATATAGAAAATGCAAGGTATACATTAAGATACCAGCTTGTGTTAAACAAGTTCATGCTCCTCTATTTTTTTTTTTTTTTTTTTTTTTTTTTTGAGACAGGGTCTTTCTGGGTCATGCTGGCTGTGCTGGACCCTGCTCTGTAGACCAGGCTGGCCTGGAACTCAGATCTACCACCCTCATCTAGCAGCTCCTATGACCTTAGGAACAGCTGACATGGTCATCATTTTATAGCTGAGGAAACAAAGGCTCGTTCTAAAAGAGCTAGAGAGCCCACAACTGGCATGGCAGGCTGGGGGCTGAGCCCTCCCACCCACTGACTCCGGCTTTAGCCTGCAGCAAACCATCCTGCATCCTAGGGGGCAGTCAGCTGTCGCCGCGGGACCCAGAAATGAGAGAGTGTGCATTTCAGGGTGTCCCTGGAAGAAGACAGAGCCAAGAAAAGAAGGTGTCACCTGCTTGGGCTCAGGAGGAAAACAGGGTCTTAATGGAGCCTGGCTGGGAATCTCAAGTAAATACAAAATATGGAGTTAGGGACACGTAGGTGCCAACAGAATCTTAATGATTTCCTTTGCCAAGAAAAACATTATGACTGCAAGTTTTTCTTCCAGATACTTGTTTTCTTTGTCATGTCTCATTATCTTATTCCTTAATCTGACTCTGAGCCAACACAATGAGACAGAGATGTTTTCCAGAGACACCTATCTTCAGTCTGATTAGGTTTAATGTCTATGAAGTTCAGGGTAGAGCCCAGAGAGAGAAGAGAGGCAGAGGTGGTGACAGAGAAGCCCCATGAAATATGAGCATATCAGTGTAGGAGTTGGCAAAGCCTGTAAGGAGGAGGCAGCAAGACTCCCAGACTACGCTTATCTGCCTGTTTTATTTCTGACAAATCTCTGCTTACAGACGTTCAATTCATAAAGCAAACGTCTAGCATGGTTGTTCAGGTCCACTGCCGTCCTCAAAACCATTCCGTCCCGACTAGGTGTGCTGGCCCAGGCTTTTAATCCCAACACCTGGAGGCAGAGGCAGAGGCAGAGGCAGAGGCAGAGGCAGAGGCAGAGGCAGAGGCAGGAGGATCTCTGTGAGGTTGAGGCTGCCTGCTTTATATAGTGAGTTCCAGGACAGCCAGGGCTACACAGTGAGACTTCATCTCAAGAAAAAAAAAAAAAATCATTAGGTCCTATCACAAAGTATTGGCCATTCAAGTTAGAATTTGTTGGTATAATAATAACACAATGGGCAGATACTTGCCGTCTCAAGATTGAGGTGTTGAGTTTACAATGTTAATCTGCTTAGTAACAGGACAGTGCAGTAAGTCCCTGCTGCTCCTCCTGTGCCAGGCTGGGGTAAAAGAAGCTAGGAGATGCGGCCTACGGCCTCTCTTCTTTATCTCTATCTCATCTAATTTCCTTTATCCTTACTACTGAAGGGACTCAGGGAGGGAGGCGCTGGTGTGTGTTAATGGAGGTTTTGGTTTCTTTGTATGTTCTGTAAAGATGTTTTTGTTTTAATCCCAAGTGTGGCATTTTAGTTGGGCTACTGTTTGTCCACACCTGTTAATTGTCACATGTGGGGCGTGATCTTTGCCGGCTGTTAACGGCCTTTTATGTGCAGCATGGAGAGGAGCATGGTCTAGGACTCAAAAGAGTATAAATATGAGCTCAAGAAAGACAAGAGGGTCTGTGTGGTGGCGTCTGGTGTTGGCATGTGGCCTGGAGCAGTTTGGAGAGGCCAGAGACCAGAGATGGTATGTGGTTTGGAGCAGATAGATGGGGAGAAACGCTTCCGGTCACAATGGCATGGAGGAGCCTGCTGGCTGCATCTGCAGTTGACGGAGATCACTGTAGAGCCCTAAAAGAACCCCGTGACCCTCGCTAGCAGGGAGAAGTAAATGGGTCTGGGCCCCCTCTTCCCAATAACCTTTTGTCTCCTACTTAAGGTTGGGGGGTTGGTGAAAGGGAGGTAGAGGCCCAAACACCCCAAGCAAAGTGGAGTTTTAAACAAGATGGCTACAGGTGTGACTCAGCTCAGCAAGGATGGGAGTGACCATGGAAGTGGAGAAGCCAGGCTTCCCTGCCCAAGACAGGGCTGCTGCGTGGGTCCTTCTGATGGTCTGTGCTGTGTCTTCATTGCTACTCTATTTTCTCTTGTCCTCTGATTTCTGTTTTCTTTTCTTTTCTCTCTTTCTTCTCCCTTCCTAAGACAGGCTCTCATTCTAGACCAGAGTGGCCTTGAGTTCACTGTGGGGCCCAGTCAGGCCTTGAACTGTAGCCATCTTCCTAGCTTCCTGAGTGCTGGAACGGCACCTGTGAGCCGCCATGTTCAGCCCAAACATGCCCCTATGGAAGGAACATGTCAGGTCAGGCAAATTTAACATATAAGTGTGTATATGCATGTGTGTGAGTGTGCATGTGCACGATGTGGGGGCCCTGAATGTCAAGGCACACTGGCCAACTGAATGGAGTAAGCTCTCTCTCCCCATCTTGCGGGGGCTCTGGGGAGGAACTCACATTGCTGAGCTTCTGTGGCAAGCCCCTAAGCTGCTGACCATTTAGGCCACCCTCAAGTCAACTTTCTGAAGAAACGCATGAGCTCTTCCCAAGCTTCTGTACAGGTAAGAGGGATGCAGGCTGCGTGTGACACTATGAAGTCAGGACTGTTCTGCCTTAGAATTCTAAGAACCAGTGTCTCTCTGCCTTCTGACAGGAATGTTAGGTAAGAACTGGGTTTTGAGGTAACATAGGTTTTGGAAACCCCATGAAGGTATTAACTCCTGAGGTTCTCAGGGCCCTACCATGTACCATAGGACTCCAACAGCAGTCATTACTTGGACTTAACAGGCTATGAATCTACAAGAACAAGGCCCCGAGTTCTCAAATTTCCACCCTGCTATGACAAGCTCAATCAAAGCAAGGCCAGGCTGCAGAGCACAGTGCTTCCCAACACTGTCAGGGCTTCAGGCAAGTTTTCCAGGACTGCTCAAGCCATGGTTCTCAACTCTGCTGGGGACCTTTCCAAAAACTTGGTTTCCCCCTTTCAAAACAATATACTTCTTAGAAGACGGCATTTGCTAGTGTGTCCTCTTTTTAATGCATTACCTACAGAGCAGAAAATAGTTGTGTGCTGTCAATTTATGGAAATAATCCAGAAACTCAGCAAAACAGTGTTTGGGATAAAGCAAGTTTGCTCTCATTGAGAAGCAGGAAGGTGGGGTAGGGCATGGGTTAGCATGGCTGCTAAAGGCACATACTGCTGCAAAAAGGTCTAACTTTCTAGACTGAGCTACCCAGGCCAAGAATAACCTTTGTGCTGCCTCTTCTCTGCCTGTAGGTGGCAGGGGTCGACAAGGGTCCCCTTGTGGCAAGCCTTGGCGTTGTGGTGGTCAGGCATGCCAATAACTCGACCTACTACAGAAGGAATCTCATGGGCCTGAGCCCTGAGGGTCTGGGCTGCCCACTTGGGGAGGAAGCTGGAGCATTTGTTAGGAGGAAGCTGGAGTATTTGTTGAACAATGTTCATTTTCTTTGTGACCACTGTTGCCCTGGACCAAACGCTTACGTTAGCCAGTCTGCTGACCCACACTAAGAAACCACTACAATAAGAGAATTCTGAATACATCTTTTTTTTTTTTTTTTCTGTTTGTATCAACAAAGATTCAAACCAGTTCTCTGGCTTTTAAAATGGTAAAATTTGATGCTGGAGAGATGGCTGAAGGTTAGAGCACTGGCTGCTCTTGCAGAGAACCCGGGTTTGGTTTCTGGCATCCACATGGCGGCCAGTTCCAGCTGTCTGTAACTACAGTTCCAGGAAATCTTGTTTCTTCTAACTTCTATAGGCACCAGACACAGGGTGCAGAAACGTACATGCAGGCAAAGCATCGTACACATAAAAGATAATTCTTAAAATATAGTCTAGTACCACAGACAAATATGAAAGATAACAATTTAGCTGTGAGTTACTTCACAGCTAACAGAATACAGGTCTGGAAAGCAAAAAAGGTCTCAGGTGTCTCCTTTCAAAATCTGAGTAAAACCACCTGAGATGTAAAATCGCCCCACTTGTCCGTTGATGCTTTTGACTCTTCGAACAGGACTTAATAGTTCATTCGTGACACCCCTGGGCTAGAGAGCTTCTCTACTGCAGCAGATGTCCGAGCGCAGGATCACAATTAGGGGCTTAGGAAATGACTAGTGAGACAGCTCACGATCAGTGAATCAGACTCACTTTCCGCTCAACAAATTTCTCTGTCTATTTGTTTGATTTTTCTTTTCCCTTGGGAGTTGGCAAGCTTTGCTGATGCTCTTACAAGCTGATTCAGAGCCAGGTCATTGTCTAGGATATATTACCTGAAAAGGGACAAGTTCCCTGAACATGCAATGTAGTCCTTTCTGGAACTTTATGTGTTCCATTCCCTTTGTCAGGACATCTCTCTGGGAACTGTGACACTCTTACCTATCACTCTCTCTGGTGGCTTGAATAAGAATGGCCCACGCAGACTCTCAGGTCTGAATACTTGCTCCCCAGTTGGTGGAACTATGTGGGAAGGATTAGAAGGTGTGGCCTCGTTGTAGGGGGTGTCGCTGGGGTTGGGCTTTGAGGTTTCAGAAGACTTTTCCAGCTAGTGCTCTCTGCTTTGAGGTTGTGTCTCAACATGTGTGAGCTCTCAGCTGTTGCTCCGGTTTCATCCCTGCTGGCCTGCTTTCCTCCATGCTCCCCATATGACAGCCACAGACTCCAACCCTGTGAAACTCTAAACCCCCAAACGCTTTCTTCTATAAGGTGCCTTGGGCATGATGTTTTATCACAGGAAAAGAAAGGTAACTAAACACCATATGAAGTTATTTTCCTTAATAAATTATTATTATTTGCCTCTTAGTTGTCTGTCATCTCCCAAATAATTGTAAAACTCAAAAATACAAAATTGATGTCAGTCATCACTTTGTCCTCAGTGCTCAAGACACTACCTGCCCCAGAGAAAGGTCTCCACGAATGCATGCTTAAGGAGCGGGCACAGCAGACCTCCTCCTACTTAACCTTCAAGCCTCAATCTCCTTCCCTTTTTTCTCTCCCCACCCCATTCCTTCTCTTTTCCTTCTTTCCCTTCTCCCCTCCTGTTTATTCCTCTCCTTCTTGCATGCTGAGACTTGAATCCAGGGCTTTACACAAGCAAGATTCTCTGCCACTGAGCCAGAGTAGCAGAAAAACAAAACCAAACATTTTTCTTGAACCCAAACCCTCAAGAATGTTAGGTGAGCACTCTTCCACTGAGCTACATACCCTAGCTCCTTGTGTTCAATCAGGCAGAGAAACATCTCATCACTTGCTAGAGAATTCAAAGTAATTTGGACAATTGCTTGGTGTGCCACTCCATGATTACATGTGCTGGTTAGACAAACTGTTTCCCTTTTACCTTCTGCATGCTATGTGAAGTCATTACACATTCCAGGAAGGAATTCTCCTATATTTTTGGTTGTGGGCTAGCCTTTAATGGCTCAGACATCTCTCCAGCCCACCAGGAGGGAGTTCTCATTTTCATTTTCCCTGATGGCAGCCACATAACAGAGGGAACCAGAAGTGACTGTGGCTTTTTGGTGGAGTTTGGTGTCGGGAGAGGAGAGCTGGGAGAAATCAGCATTGCCCAGGACCGTCATCCTCAGCTTTCAACAGAGTGAAGCCCGAGGGACCTTGAAGGCAAGGACAGTAGGGGCCTCCTCTGAGCATCCCTGCAATTTCTCACAGGAGTATTCTCTAGTATATCGTTCCCATGGCCGTGAGGGGACAAGCCTGGGCTACATGAGTCACAGCAGTGGAATCCTAGGCAAGTTACTCTGACATCTAGTTTTCTCATGGGAAAATGAGGGTTAAAAAAAATAAACAACTCATTGAATTGAGGACTAAACGACATATAAATTGCCCAGCACAGTGCCTGGCATGGGTAGGTGCTCAGTAAACACGAGTGCCCTCCCCCACTTCCTGGTTTCTAAGCTTGTGAAGCCAACTCTACCATCACTGCCAGGAACCAGCTCTCTGCAGGGAGACTCGCCACGCCTATCTGCTCCTTCCTCCACCCGAGGAGAGGCGAAGTGAGAAAAGCTCCCAGAACTGTCTCTCCCTCTCCTATAGAATCCAGCTCAGTCTGTCTGCCCCTGACCCCCAAGCACTGTGCTGGCCCCAGCCCAGCCTGGCCCCGCCCTCCTCGCCCTGACTCCCAACAAGCATCTCTTGAATGAGACTGCCAGATGAATTCACAGCCCCTTTATCACTCAGTAACACAGAGTTCGGTGGCTCATCACTTTTCAGTGTAAGGCTTTTCCTAAATACCAACTTTATATTTTACTTGTCTTTTATTGAGTTTGAAACTATACAAATATAGTTTGAAACTATACACAGTCTTATGAGATTTCTTCTTTAAGTTCCAAAAGCAGGTCATCAGGTCAACAGAAACACAAATAGATCATCAATTTGCCTGGGTTTTGCCAGATAGACTAAACCTCTCTACGTTGATTCGGAGTCAAGCCTAATGCTGCTTATTCCCAAAGAAAATGCCAAGAATCCCTTGCACACCAGAATTAAATGTTTATGTTTTGTTGTTTTATTCAACAACCTTTACTGATGATTTCATAAACACCTACCCCAGTCTTTCCCAATCTGACTGTGGGGATGTTTATCATTTTAAACTCAGTTACTTTTATTGCTTCCTCTCTGCGCATCAGATGAAGTCTGAGGCCACAGGAGAATGCAGTGAGACCAATTTGACCATTGCTCAAGCATTTCACAACTTGCTCTCCTCAGACAGTGAGAAAGGATATCTGTCTCCCTGGCTTGTCCCCCGACCTTCGGTGAAGCGGGTGGAAGCGGTTCCGGGCTGGCCTCTCCACCAGGCCATGGTGGCGGGTTCCACGAACATTATCAGCTTGATGAAATGATGGCTGCAGAGAGAAAGGGAGAATGGTTGGCCTCTAACTGTGAAATTGCCACTCATGCACAAAAGTGACTGGTCAGAGATGAAAAGCCTGAGGTTCTAACTTTACTACGGCATATTGGTGCTTTGTGTCAACATAAATAAGATGATACATGTAGCTGTGTTTCTACATAATTACAGAATATATCAAAACAGCCCTTCACATGTTAATATGGAAGCAGACAAACTATACACAGAAACTGTCATAATTAGGAAATGGAGAGTTCTATGTTAAAGTGTATTTTTTGGGCCAGCAAGATGGCTCAGCGGGTAAACGTGTGTGCCTCGCCAAGTCTGAACCTGAGTTCAAGCCCTAGATCCCACAAAAAGGTAGGAGAGTATCATTTCTACTAAGCTGTCCTCTGGTCTCTACACAAGTGTCAGGGGATATACACCCCCCCACACACACACACACTCATACATGCATGTACGCACATACACACAAATGTTTAAAAATAAAATATTGATTGGAGTGCCACACACTGGTGATCCCAGAATTTGATGGTCAGAGGCAGAAGAATCACAAGTTCAAGGCCAACCTAGGCTACAGAGTGAAACAAAAATAAATATCAAAAAGAGATTAAACTCTGTGGCCCTGAAGTGCTTAATTTTTCCCTTGCTTTTAACTTACCTGTATATAATTTTTACATTGTTGCACCCTCAAAAGTGGATCTATTTTTGAGATCCAGATTTTATATTTAGCATTTCATAAATACATGATAAAATCAACTTATTAACTCAGAAATCATACAGTCCTTCATTTCTAATGTTCATAAAACCTGCAATCAACATGGTAGCTCATAACACTGTACCAACATCTACTTGCTGACAAGCTACTCTGTCTTCCTTAGCTATAAGATGGGGATGATAACTTCTCTCCAGGCTTATTAAGTATATGAAATGAAATCGGGCATGGCGATACACACCTTTAATCCCAGCACTCAGGGAAACCAAGGTAGCCGGACCACAGGCCGAGGCCAGCCTGGTTTACAAAGGGAGTCCAGGACAGCCAAGGCTGCACAGGGAAACCCTGTCTTGAAGAAAAAAAAATGAAGGTCCAGCAAGATGACTCAGTGGTTTAGATACCTGCCACCTTGCCTGATGTCCTGAGTTCAATCCCCAGGACCCACATGGTGCAAGCAACTCCCAAAAATTGTCCTCGAACCTCCATGTGTATGCCATAGAACACATGAATTAATGAGTAAAAAAATAAATGTAATAAAATAAGACAAAATAAAATGAAATGAGATCCCTTATGTGTGGACTGCCCCATCCCAGATATGTCTGGGCACTGGAAGGAAGAGCAGATGTACATATGATAAGGCCTGCTGGGGAACACCACATTAGAGGTCACCTACAATCCTTGTCACGGTTGCTGTCTTCTCCAGTATGAGAAGCCTTCCTGCACATCCCCCAACAGACCTAGACTTCAGCGAGGCAGCGCCTGTTGCTCATGTCATGCGACCTCTAAGAGCTGGCTGGAGCCTGGAATGAATGTCTGGGGCAGGGGAAGGGTAAGTGGACCACGTGACTTGCTGCGGAAGTGTCGGTGACTTAAGAGCAGACCGATGTATGTTGTGTCCAAACTCTCATACTCTCTTCTTTCTGCTGTGAAAATGCTAGGTCCCAAATAAGGGCTGTTCCTTTTACCTGGACTGCAGGAAGTCACAGGAGGAGAGCTTCAGTGGGTGCCTGAAGCCACTGACCTGTAACCCAAGTGAAAAGCAGATGTCTGCTGAGAGCCCTAAGTGTCTGGATGGACTGTTCCTGAAGCAAAGCCTTCTGCTGAGGCAAGGAAGCTGTGCTGAGGAGAGCTGGAGGAAAACCGGGAGGCATAAAGCCAAAGACTCCACAAACTGGTGCCCTGTGTACTTTTAGGAAGGCTGGAGCTCAGCTCCGAGGCACACTGTAATGATTGAGAACCTGGGACTTTGGAGACCTCAGCGCCATGTTTAGAAGCCGTCTGGGTGCAGTGCAGACCACTCAGGGCAGACAAGCATGTTGCCAGCACAGCACAGGCAACACAGGGGGAAGGTCTTCTGAAAGATTTTCTAAGCATTCGTTGTGGGAGAAATCCAAACTCAGTTGTTCCTCCCCGGCTTTTTGTTTGTTTGGGGTAATTTAGTAGTTTAATTCTGAAACCATAGAGGGCGAGCCAAGTAATCTCCCGGGGTCTGGGTCCTCAGCACCGGAGAGCACAGTGGGTAGCACACAATGTTGTTAGTGGCGACCTAAAACAACATCAACAGCCTGAAAGAGCAAGTTAACACCAGGAGGCCAGAAAGGGTCTTAGCGGTCAAGGGCTGGCCTGCTGGGTTCTGCCTTACAGGATGACCTAATATTTGGGGGTGAGCCCAGGGAAAGGCCTGAGTGGCAACCCAAGGGAGGAGAAAGATTCTGAGAGGGCAGACTGACAGTAAGAGCCTGATCCAAAAACCAGGATTCCTTGGACCTCTGGAGGTGGGGAGCAGGCTGAGGCGAGCACGCAGGTGGGCAAGGAGACAGCTAAAGCCACTTCGTCCTCTGTTTCTGTGGGTGAGTGATGAGGAAAGGGGATATTCGGATATCCACAGCAGTTTAAACTCCTGTGGGAATTGGACGTCCAATGCTCTCCCGCTATCTGTATCTTGTAGGATTGTAAACTGAATATTTCTTTAAAAAAAAAAAAAAATCTGCCAGGGCAGCAAATTAGCCCAGCCTAGCAGGTCTTACAGTGGCTGGCAAGACAGGGGAGCAGAAGCTTTCTGAGCTGTCTCTTCTGAAATCCCAGTATGTGTGTGTTCACTGGTACATCTCTGGTCCCTGTCTAGCCCCTGTCTGTCCCTTCAGGACCAGGCAAGCAGCCTGCCGCTCAGTTACATCCCCAGCCCTGGTAGAGTCTTTTGGTAGTTGTCACTTTTTAAACTTTCCAATAGGCTCTTGTTAAGCTGCTGCTCTGGCTGGCTTTGAACTTGTGATTCTCTTGCCTTAGCCTCCCTAGTAGCCCAAATTACAGGCTTACAACACCAGGTCTCTGTAAGTTACGAATTTCAGTGAGGAAATCTAGAGTTAATAGCACACTGTATTATATTCTCTCAGAGCACTCACCCGAGGGCCCTAGAACTTGGATAGGAGTCAAGCTCTCCCATCCCCGTGTGTGTGTGTGTGTGTGTGTGTGTGCGCGCGCGTGCGCGCGCACCACACAGAGGTTTATTAGGGAAAAGTGAGAAACAATTTTCTAGAATGGAGAGGTTTCAAGACAACAATATTCTGGGTTTCGTTTTATTTCTTTTGTTCTTAAGCAGGTTCTGATATAGTCCAGGGTGCCCTCAAACCCGCTACTTAGCTGGATGACCTTGAACTCCTGACGGTCTTACTTTCACCTCACAAGTGCTGGGTTGCAAATGTATACCACCACACTACTGGGCAAGCAGGTACTACCGAGTGACACTCCTGGCCCTGGGTAGGGCTCCTTCTGTGTGCGGCTGACCATACACACTCGACATCACACGCTGTCCACACTGTATCCCTTCTGAAAGCTACAGCTGTTGTAGCTGGTTTCATCGCCTTCCCTAGACTCTAGCCTAGTCTAATAACTGGAGGAACACACCGCCTCACTCCAGACACCGCTGCTCAACACTGTGGCGTTTTGATACCGAATCTCTCAGGGGCTGCACGATGTTGCTGGCATATCATTACATTCGCGGTCAATTAGAAACCCCACATCTTTCTTACTTCACTGGCAAACATCTGGGGGTTCCGACTAAGCCGGGTTTCGGTCCTTCAATGAGCTGAAGTCTTAGAGTCAGAGAGCTGTACGTTAATTTAAGGGTGTTTTTATTATTAAAGCTCTCCGTAGGGCTGGGGAGATAGCTCAGGGGTTAAGAGCACTCACTGACTGCTCTTCAGAGAACCTGGATTCAGTTTTCAGCACCCACATGGCAACTGACAGAGGACTCACACCCTCTACTGGCCTTGGAGGGCACTGCACACATGTGTTACACAGCAAAACACCCTTCACGTGCATAAAATAAAATAAACGAATCTTTAAAAAAAATAAGCTAGGTATAGTGACACATGCCTTTAATCTGCACTCAGGAGGCAGACAGCTGGATTTCTATGAGTTCAAGGCCAGCCAGGCTTACATGTGAGTTCAAGGACAGCCAGAGCTATGTAGAAGGACCCTGACTCAGAAAGACAATGATGATAAATTTTTTTATGATTATAAATTTTAAAAGTGCACATAGGACCAGGCAATGATGACACACACCTTTAATCCCTATACCCAGGAGGCAGAGGCAGGCAGATCTCTGTGAGTTCAAGGCCCAGCCTGGTCTACAGAGTGAGTTCCAATACAGCCAGGGCCACAGAGGAAACCCCTGGTTTGAAAAAAAAAAAAAAAGTGCACATATATATATAATAGGATAGAAGGAATCTCTTGTGTATTATATGGTGCAACACTTGTCAATTAAAAACCTACGGCCTATGGCTGAGGCAGGAAATAGGAGGGAAATCCGGCAGGAAGAAGGAATTCTGGGATAGAGCCAGACATGCAAGATTTGAACCAGGCAAGATGTGAAGAGGATGGATGCATGGTGCCTGAGCTTGGGTAACCAGCCACGTGACAGAATGTAGATTAATATAATGGGCTATTTTAAGTTATGACCTAGTCATAGAAGAGCCTAGCTATATGGCCAAAGTGTTTGTAAATAATAATTGAGTCTCATGAGGATTCCAGGAGCTTGGGTGTGGGAGGAAAGACCTCCTCTTACAAGATAATAGTATGTGATTTATTTATAATTAACCAAGGCTTACTTTATTTCTACATCAAAATAGAAAAAAATTAATTTTAGCTTAAGATTATACTTCTATACAAAGTTATTAAAAACAGAAAATATGATAATATTTTCAAGTAAAATATGAGCTTCTAAGTACTAATCTTTTTTGGGGGGAAGGGTTTCAAGATAGGGTTTCTCTGTGTATCCCAGA